AAGTTTCAAATGCGTTTTCTATAAAATCACGATTTTCGTGTTATGTCGTTGTTGTAGCAAACAAGCGATGTATTATAACAGCGTAGTGGTTGACGGGCGGCGCACCAGTGACGTCACACGTAAAACAAAACTGATGCATTTACGCGGAACCCATGGTCAGATAAAAATTTTGAAACTACCGAAATGTTTTATTTTTCACGCACTATTTGATTTCGTTAAAAAAAAAATTTTTGTTTTATAGTCTTATAATGACATTTGACTATTACTTTCCCACACAAGTATACTGACAGACATTATAAATATGAACTTTTTTAATTAAAAATCATTTAAATTCAATTCCAAGTAAATACCAAATCATTACATCACTTCTGTATGTTTCACTTGATTGCATAACACAGTGTGAATTACAAACCCAACATACACCTACGGCCATGTGTCAATTGGTATTATTTTCAGCTACAGACTCCATGTGCAATGATTATCTTGGACAACAACCCTCCAATGGCATAAAGTCGGGTTGTGTTTTCTATGTCATTTACTTAATTTATTTAATAGTTCTACGATTAAGGATTTCTAAAGTTTTACCTAACCACTACTACAGTTACTCTGTACAACATTCTTGAAAACCAAATATATATTTTTTAACATAAACCTTACATTCATTTCAATGCCTGCCCTTAAAGTGGGCATTTGTTTGTGTTTTGCAATTTATACTCAAATATTAATGCATTTGATGTACTTAATATTTCTGCATTAATGTCAATATTTAGAATTATGTTATATTAAGGTCAGAGTTAGTTATAACCCACTGTGTTTTAAACACATCTCTAATGAACAAATGACAAATACTCAAACTACTCATGTGTTTTCTGACACAGTTACTGACAAAACATTTCACTGTTCACCGTGTCCACTGCAATTCATAGCATTAGCTTACTTAAAACTTATTGAACACAATAAGTACAGTTAATGTTATTACAGTTAATTACAATGGACTTTATTTTAAATGTTATAACATAAACATTTTTCTCGCAGTTCTCAATGTCTGTTCTACACAAACATTGCATTGGATCTATAGTAATACATTTTTGATTTGCAAGTTGTGATCTAAATATTTTATCTGTTATGCAAGCACTTATACGTTTTATTACACGGTTCATAACATGGAATTTTTCTGATTCAGTGTTCACAGTGTCCACTGCCATTTACAGGTTACAATTGCTTTTCTTTTAAATTTCATTTCCACTTATATCATAACCAATGAACACAATAATACTTATATGTTTTCTTACACAGTTCTTAGTGTTTATTCTATACAGTTAATGCTTTGTATTCAGCATACATATTATACTAAATGTGTATTTGTCAGTTGGTTACTCAGCAATGAAGCAAACATTATCAATACAGAAGATATAGCTGTACAATTCAAACCATTTTAAAAAATCACATAATATAAATATTCTACAAAACATACACTTAACTTCAATAGTTATGGAGTTCGGATAATATAATTTAATGAATTCACTTAACACATACACTAAATATACAACGTTTGAATCAATTATAATATTATTGAGTGCAGCCCTCTTTTTAAACTTCAAGTTTTGATTTATAGTTAAAATTAATTGGCCTGTAACAAAAGTCCTTACTTTATAATATCTTTATTATTTCAATATACCTGCAAACTGCAATGCCTAACTTTTTAACGGCATTCAATAGTTGTGTACACAATTTGCAATGTTATACTGGATCACTGTAAACACTATATTACATTTTTATTTATTATTGAAAACATTTATCTTTAACAATTGACTTCTCTTATTAAACATAGTTTCATACTGACTACACTGAGATATGTTAATTCCTGGTTTAATAATAGTTACATTGTGATATATATTAAAATGAAATTGATCCTGAGCCCGGCAACTGAGGCCATTAGCTATTAGTAGGTACTGTAGGTTTTTTTGTATTGATGGTTTGTAGGTTTTTGGAACGGTAGGGGGAACACGTGTGTGTTTGTTTTGGCAGAATTTCGAATGGGGCACCCGTAGGTTTCTGCCATGCCCCGGGGGTGGGGGATGGCAGCACTTGCTCTCCGGTCACCGCGAATTGTCCGGAGAAAAATGCCGCCCGGTGGCCGAGGATCGAACCGCGACCGGCTGCGTCGCAGCGGAAGAGTCAGACCACTCGGTCACCTCGTCCCCCTAAAATGAAATTGTTTCCACTCTAAACTCAACTTCACTTATAGGTGATTGTGGAGGAGGGGGAGGGCGTGGAGATCGTCGACGTCCTGATGGAGGAAGAGGATGACACGGAAGTCGTCGAAGTCCAGGTGGTGGACTGGGGGGAGGCCATGGAAGTCGTCGAAGTCCTGGTGAACGACGAGGACGAAGGCGTGGAAGTGGTCGAAGTTCGGATGGACGAAGCTCGAGCAGAACTCGAGTTTTCCGACGTGCTCGACGTCGTGCAGCTAGACGTCGACGAAGAGGTCAGTAAATAGGTCTTATTTATTACGAAACATAGAAAAAAAATTATAATATATTGAATTACAGTTCGGACCGATTCCAGCGGCGGTTCTGGTGGAACGTCCCGGAGAGCGCGCGCCCATGATCAACCGGCCAGCGGGAGTGACACACCCGCTTCCAGAGCGTCAACACGTGGACGCGTTGACTGCTGTCTGTCAGCACTGTGACGCCCGTCACTTCCCCGACGAGCTTACGACCTGGGTCACTTCTCCGCGTGCTGTAACAATGGCCAAGTGACTGCTACAGGTCACCGTGTATTGTTTCCTGCCCCGTATCTGTGGACGAATTTGTTGATTTCCGATTCACAGGACAGCCGTAGATACCTAGCGGTCATCCGTCGGTATAACAACGCTCTGGCATTCGCAGCGTTTACCAACAGCGTAAGCCCCAGACGTTTGCCAGGGCGAGGATCGACGGTGTTCACGCTCCAGGGACAAGCGTATTATCGGACCAACGACATTGGCTTTTAGGTAAGAAAAATCAATCAAAAACTATTGTGTTTACTTACATATATTAAAATACCCAAAGCATTATTTGCCATACTGTATCTGATAAACTAATTGTATTATAGTCCGTTCCACGAGAGATCATGCCTGTTCTGCGCATGTAGAATGAAACTCGTCGCCAGCGCCCAGCGGCGGTCGGCTTGATCCGTTGTATCCCCTCCATGCGTCTACATTTCGACCGACGCGTGCAGTATATACACCGCGCTTCGTTATTTAATTTTAAAATTGTTCACACTTCGTGCTCAAGTAGCATATATTTTAATAGTAAAAAAAACATTTTTTTTTAGACTAGGTTTTTAAATATTGGTTATTTATTAAATACAAAACAAATAATGATGATGAGATAAAAGAATTATACTTACTTAAGTCAAATGTACAATTTTACTTTGTGCTAAACTGACAAAATCATTAAAAAAAAAAATAATTTACAATAATACAATTTTATTTACAGTATAATATGTACAATAATAATAATAAATTCTCAATCTGAATATTCTTCTGATTCGGAATTTGATGTGTCACCACAACTCATCACAAGTGAACCCATCCTCTCTAAGAGGTCGTCTACAACAAAATCAATTTCCCAAAATCGTGCTTCTTCCTTCTGAGTGTGGTGCACAAAGTTTTTCCACATTTCAGGTGTGCATTTTTCCACTTCCTCGTGTAGTAGTTTGTGGACATCGGCAAGTTTAAATGTACTATTTTTCATTTTCACGTGTTTTTTTACGAATGCCCACGCCAACTCAATTGGATTGAGTTCGCAATGGTAAGGAGGTAAACGTAATACTTCCTTACCGTGCAATTGTACGTACTCATCAATCATATAACTATTATATTGCGGTTTAATTTTATTTACTAATTCCATAAGACGAGGTTTATTAATTGGCCTTACAAAAGTTTCACCCTTCTCTTCCAACCACTTTTCTATGTCACATTTATTCCAAGCTAATGTATGTCATTTTTCGGATTTGACTGAATGATAAGAGGCATTATCCATGACTATTATACAATTATCATCGAGTAATGGTAATACGTTTTTCAACCAATCGAAATATGTATCGCCATTCATTTCGTCATGGTAGTCTAACGAATTTGTTTTCGATTCGAATGACAATAAGCCCCCGTGTACAGTGGCGGCGCTAGGCGTGGGCGAAGTGGGCCATTGCCCACGGCCTCGCACCTCAAAGGGCCTCGCGTTCCAAAGGGACTTATAATTAACCATAGAAAAATATGGGAGAAGTATCTATACAAAAATTTTTGTATCCATGAAATTATTTTATTGTAAAAAAAAATCATAAACATAAATGTTATATTTCGTCATATTTAGTCATTACTAAAAGTACCAGATCACACTATGCGTTTTGTCGGTTGCCGATCGGCAAACGACCGCGACTATTCTATAATTAACATATAAACCGCGTTATCGGGGCCAGACTGACCGATTCGGCGAACCGATTTTATATAAACTCGATAACGTAATTTCATTTTGACAGTTCACAGTTGTTGTTAGTTCAATTGGTTGTGTTTTATCCTCATTTCTGTATCGATCGATTACCGAAAATTATATTCAATTTAATAATATTTAACGAAGCAAAAATCATACTACACGTACCTAAGTTGTAAGTATAAAACTTTATTAATTGTGTTTACATTTTCCATTGTTTTTTTTTTTTATGATATTAGTTATAAAATGATTTTATTATAATATGAAAATAACATAATCAGCATGGAAAACGATTTATTGTGACAGAATAGATATATAATAATAATTTTTTATAATAGGGAAGTATGGAAATAATATATTTTAGTATGTTGTATTGGAAATGTTAGCTAAAACTTTAAGAACTAATAAATAATTGTAATTTGTAATCGAATGTTATTTATATTTAACACTTCTCATACATAATTTTATAAATATTACATAATAATTTATTATTAAAATATAATTAACTATCCATATGTAGGTATCATGTCTGGATCTAGTAGAGACAGAGATACTGGTCGGAAATGGGAATCTGGTGCTTTCAAAAGAAAGAGAAAAGCTGAAATGATGCAAGTGAACCAAGCTATGAGTACTAGTATGATGAAATTTCTAAACAAAACCAGTACATCAACAACTACAGACTTAGATGAACCTTATGCCAAAATGGATTTAAATGAAGGAAATGTATCCAATAAAATTTCAAAATACAATGAAGAATTGACAAAAGAAGTTGAAACTAAGTCTGATCTTGAAACTTCTCCGCCAATAAATACTTTTGAAAATAAAAACTCTAATATAAATAACATTTGCGATTTAGAGATGCACAAACAAGAAATTGTTTTAAGTGAACCACTAATGAGTTTAGACCCAGGGAAATGGGTGTTTCCGTTATCAGGTTCACAGCGTCACGATTTAGTTCAACATGGTCCTCAACAGATGCTAGATATTTGCGATGAAAATTATCCTTTAGACAATAATAAGAGACATTTTTCTAACTTCCACTATACAAGAAAATTAAGTAATGGCGAAACTCAACATCGCAGATGGCTAGTTTATTCTCAATCTCAAGATAAAATATATTGTTTTCCGTGTACAGTTTTTTCTAATTTACAAACACAAATGATTCGTGAAGGATGTTGTGACTGGAAACATCTAAGTACAATTTTGCAAAGACACGAAAAGAGCCAAGAGCACATGGTGTGCATGATTAAATGGGTAGAATTTGACAAACGAATTAAACTTGGGAAAACAATAGATCAAGAAAATGAAAAACGGATTCGTGAATCACAAAAGCATTGGTACAATTTGTTTGAAAAATTAATTAATGTAATAAATTTCTTAGCCTCACATAATCTATCATTTAGAGGTCATCGAGAATCTGTGAAGTTAGATGATAGCAATAACTCTGGAAACTTTATTGATTTATTAAAATTATTGTCCAAATATGATCATTCATTACAGAACCATTTTCAACTAATTAATGAAAAACAACTGGCACAACATTATTTGAGTCATGATATCCAAAATGAATTAATTAAGCTTATGTCTAAAAAAGTAATTGAAGAGATTATTAGTAAAGTAAAACTAGTGAAATATTATGCTTTCATGCTCGACTGCACTAGAGACATAAGTCGCGTTGAACAGATGTCCATTATTTTAAGATTTTGTAATACGTCAACCGGTGATATAGAAGAACATTTTATTGGATTTATTGCTGTTGATTCCACAACAGGGGAACATTTAACAAACATTATTCTACATGAGCTAAAAAGTAATGGTTTAGATATTCAAGACTGTCGTGGACAAGGTTTTGATAATGGCGCGAATATGGTAGGAATAAACAAGGGTGTTAAAACACGAATATTAAATATTAATCCAAAAGCATTCTTTGCACCTTGTGGTTATCACAGCTGGAATTTGATTTTAGTAGATGCTGCTAAGTCTTCCATTACAGCTAAAACATTTTTTGGCTTTATTCAAAAAATTTATTTGCTCTTTTCAAAATCTAGTAAACGATGGGATCTTATAAAAGATAAATTAAAACTAACATTAAAGTCTTTATCTGAAACAAGGTGGGAAAGTAGAATAGCTGCAGTCAAAGCAATATTATTTCAATTTGACGATGTCATTGATTGTATAAATATACTTAAAATGCAAATAGTAGACGCAGAAACTCTATGTGATTGTGAAGCCATTTTAAAAGAAATGTTAACATTTGAATTTATTGTTGCAATACATGTGTGGTATGAAATTTTACTTCGTGTAAATAATATAAGTAAAATCTGGCAATCAGTTCAAGTTAATTTAAAAATGGCTGTTGATTCTTTAAATAATTTTTGCAATTGGATTCAAGAATATCGTGATATAGGATTCAATAAAAGTATTATAGAATCTCGCCAGTTCATAGAATAAAGTAGTTATGAAATAGAATTAAATTTTAAAAACAAGAGAATAGCAAAGAAGAAAAAAATGTTTAGTTATGAACACACTGATGAACCTATAGAGAATGATGAAGAAAAGTTTAGAGTTGACTTTTTTAACAGCATGATTGATGGAATTCTACATGACATTAAATGGAGATTTAAATCATTGAATGAATACTTTGAATATTTTGGTTTTATTTATGATATGAATATTTTAAGAACCATTTCCAAAGAAGACCTTTATAAGTATTGTTGTGATTTAGGTACTGTTCTTCAAGGGGGTGAAAAGAGCGACATTCAATCATTTGAATTATACGAAGAATTACAACTCATAATTTCAAGTCTACCAGACTTTATTAAGGATGCAAAACAACTCATCAAATACATAATAGAAAATAATTTACAAGAAATATATCCAAATGTTTATATTACGGTCAGAATTATGCTCACTATTCCTGTCAGTACAGCTTCAGCAGAGAGAAGTTTTTCGAAGCTTAAAATAATTAAAAATTATCTACGAAATACGATGACACAAGAAAGACTATCAGCATTAGCAGTTTTGTCCATTGAAACGGAAATTGCAAATAATTTAAATTACGAAGATATACTTAAAACATTTAGTGAAGCAAAAAGCCGAAAAGTCCATTTTTGTAAATAAAAAAAAATTAAACTTCTAACAGTATTATTTATTTAAAAAAATATGTATTTAATTTTATAATTATGTATAAATAAAATTATATTGACTACTTTGCAAATAAAAGGTTAATAATTAGAGTTTATTGTTTTAAAAAATTGTAAATCTTAATATTTATTAAATAACTATTGTTACTTAAATGTTTATTAAAAAAATTTTTAAAAAAGGGCCTCTTTAAGTCTACTTCGCCCACATATAAATTTTACCTCGCGCCGCCACTGCCCGTGTACAAAACCTCGCTCTGATCCAATATGCACAACAATTAAACGTTTACCTTTTCCGGTTGGATTTTTTGCACCTGCTGACGGTCCTTTAAGAAATGCGTCCCTGCTGTGTTTGACAGTTTGGTCGACCCACGTTTTTGATGTGCATTCTCCCGCGTTCACCCACGTCTCGTCTGTATAATATATAGTCCGCCCTTCATCACGGTACTTACGAATAGTCTCGAGATACTTGCTTCTCCAAATTACAATGTCGTCTCTTTCTATCATCAGGGCACTGTTACGTCCTCTTTTGGAATATACAAAATTCAATGATTTTAAAACACGGTATAAATTTGTCCGGGAAAATGTCGTACTGATGTCTTTTTCCTCATTCACAGACTTCAAAATTTTGTCCAGTGTCGGCACTTCACCTTTAAACCAGAAGTTATGGACCTTTCTGCGAACCGCGTTCTTTTCAAAATCATCTATCTTTTCCTTGATCGTCAATCTAATTTTTTTTCTGTTTGGAGATTTCACTACGCCGGTGTTTTTGTAGTCCGAAATCGTCTTTTGAACACTATTTTGCCCGATGCCTGTTTCTGTGGAAATTATTTTCGCTAGCTCTTTAATTTTTAGTTCTGCATTTTGGGTGATTTTGGTCTTGTACAGGTTGATTATCATTTGTTTTTGACTGCTACCAACAAGCTAAAGAAGAAAAGATCGTAATCTATAGATCTGTACGGAATTCGTAATTATACAGTTGTTTTTTTTATTTTAGATACTTACTTTTCCATTATGATTTCTTTTTATTGGTGAAACATTTGATGTAGATGGATTTTAACTCATTTTTAAAAAAATCAAAATAAACAATAATAATAAACAGTGATTTATGTAACAACCATGCACAACTTGTCACGACAGCGGATGTATAGGCAATAGGCATGTGCTACGGTGTCACAAATATTGCCGTCGACGTCGAGCGCCGGCGCTACCGAGAAACGTCGAGAGGTGTCGCTGCCGACGCACGCCGTCGACGTCGTCGTCGCGTTTGGTGGGGAATGCGCAAACCCAAACGAGTTTTCGTTTTCTCGCGGCATGATCTCTCGTGGAACGGACTATAACACAAAGTATTAATTTTAACTGCTGCTACAATATTGTGGGTAAACTCAATGGCACAAAATAATACATGCAATTTATTAATTTGGTGTTCCACGTAGACCATTGCGTTCATTAAGACTGCAAATATTATGAATTACTCAACCTCGGTCAATAATTTTTATGATTTGCAATTGTTCGTACCTGTTGTATGTGATTCTTTAACCTCATTACAGCTGCAGACACTCATTTATGTATATTAATTTTAATGTTATAAGATTATTATGTTAATGAATTTGTGGTGTAAATCAAACACAGTTTGCACTATTGTTGAATTTACTGAAACCCTTGCTGCTACTACCGATGTGTACCCACGATCGTTACTGAATTACTTGTTTGAATACTACTAAACAATAGGGCTTGGATGTTTATGACTGAACATAAATTGTATACCCTAATGTTCAATTTTATTATTGTTCTAACATAATTCCTTATAAGTCTTTGACATAGTACTAATAGTATTAATACATTTTGGGTCATAAACATATACTTGCATATTTTGACATCTCATTTTTTCCAGGAATATGCGTCAGGCGTGGCAGGCAGAAAGAGACATAGCTGACGCCGATCCCGTAGGCGTGCGTCCTTGGCCAATTACAATGCGTTTCGTCGCTGATGCGACCCGAGATCAGCGGCGATACAACCTGCCCACCGCAAATGAAGTCGTGGCTGTGTTCGTTGGTGACGACGGTCGTCCGCCCAGAATCCTCGATCTGGTCGTCTACGACACGAATCCAATCAACCCGCATCACAGGATGCAAAATATACCTGCGGGTTTGTTAATGACTATTTCACACAATAATCTTTTGATTTAACTGTTAATTTACATTCACCACATGAATACACTTTTATTTATTAACACTAGGTGTAACTCTTAAATACTGGCAGTATTGCATTCAATTCGCATGGTTGGGTGTTGTATATCATGCACAATAGTCATTACATTATTAGAATTTTCAGTTTCTCAAATACAGCGCCGGTTAACAAAATACCCATCATGTTATTTACTATGTATCAATTTTCTACTAAACTGCAAACAACACTCAATTGATTCTTTATGATATCAAAAACTATGTCACATTTGTATCATCGATTTTATTGATAATATTAAGGTAGATTTTTTTTCACTCAAAAATTCCATGTGCCTTTATGAATTACCTACATTTACACACGCACATCAAATGGCAATGCGTTGTTTTGTGTGTTTTATGTGTTGTTTATTTACCAACTATTTTGTCATTAATCGAACCTACAGTTACATTACTTCAATGCTTAATTCACTGTGTGACTTATTTTATAAGTTGTCGAATCCACTCGACCTGCAACACAGGACCGACTAACTAGAGTTACTAACTGTTTCACACAACATTCTTTTTGTTATTGAACACATACAACTTCCATATAATTGGCACTATCAGATGATTCAATTATTCACTAAATTTATACATTATTGTATTAATTAACACTACTAGGATTATTAATTACTTTGTACACCTCATAGGTAATAAACATACACAAATAATATATATATATATATTATATATATTCACCCTAAACCTTAACCCTTTCACTTGTGAATTCACACCTGGGAGTACTGCATTTTAAAATTCACTTGGTTGTAAATAATTTTTTGAATTCACATTAATAACAAAAGTCATTGCGTTACTACGCAGTTTGCTAATTCATGAGTAATTATTACTTATCCGTCCAATCACAATAAATTGTTTTATGTCTGTTGTTTACTAGATATTTTATCAATATATTACTTCAAAAAAATGCTTAATTAACTTTACTCTCATTTTATCATTTGCTTAGGACTATAACAAAGATGTGCAGTGCACAACAAGCATAGCAAAAAGTCAAACACTTAATAATTAAAATGTTACTCACTACAGTGCCACACCTACTGTTGTATTTAGTAACATATTTAATGTTCAATCCAATTTGTATCTACATGTATCATTGTATGTCATCCGACTCAGTACACTGTAATAATAATTGACACCTGGGATATGAAGTACTCAACCTTAGAGGTTAATAGTTTATACTTTTTGCCTATGGAATATTATATCATCATTGGTAATAAACACACACATTATATAGGAATTCTTCACACATCTCATGAACACAAAATGTACACTATTTTACTCTAAGCGCTACTAATATACAGTTCAATGCTTCGGAGCGTCATTATTACTCAAAGATGATTTCATTGACTTAATCATAAATATTTTTAACTCAGAATTTGGGACTTTAACACATGCCTTTCTTAAAATATGTACTCACTACACACGACTCCATGACCCTGACTCTCAGTCAATCGTTTAATAATTCACTTGAAATGACGTATTTTAGGGTCGTGTCACGCGGATCCGATGATGTATCCGCTGTTGTTCCCGAGCGGAGAAGCCGGTTGGCATTTCGGGATGAGGCAAGAGGGCAACCGACGTAATCAATTCCGTAATCGAAACAGTATCAGAGAGTTTGCGTGTTACCGTTTGGCCATTCGTTATCGGGGAAATAATGATGAGAGGCACGAACAGTTCAGTCTAATACATGCTGGTCGATTTTTATTACAGCAGTATGTATGCGACAAGTACGTTCGAATGGAATCGAACAATCTGAACTACGTCCGTACGAATCAGCGAGCTCTCCTCGCCGAAGCTTACCAAGGGCTCATGGACCACGTGAACCAACAGCACCACTTAGACGTGGCCGATCCCATGGCGGTCGGCCGGAGGGTCATTCTACCGTCCAAGTTCGTCGGAAGTCCTCGATACATGAAGCAGTGATATCAGGACGCCATGGCCATAGTTCGTAAGTACGGTAAACCCGACCTGTTCATAACGTTTACGTGCAATCCCAGGTGGCCTGAGATCGCGGACAATCTGGCGGCCCACAGCACGGTGAGCGACAGGCCCGAACTGGTGGCCGGGGTGTTCCACATGAAACTGCGGGAGCTTATAGGTGACATAACTGTTAATCGTGTGTTTGGTAATGTCCTTGCTTACGTGTACACCATCGAGTTTCAGAAACGCGGTCTGCCCCACGCGCACATACTCATCATCCAGGCGGAGGATAGTAAGTTGCGCACGGCAGAGGACGTCGACGACGTGGTTTGCGCCTACCTGCCGGACCCGCGTGCGTCACGTCGCACATGATACACGGGCCTTGTGGAAGGGTCAACCCACAGTGTCCGTGCATGGTGGACAACAGTTGCTCCAAGGACTACCCGAAACCATACGCAGAGGAGACTGTGTATATGTTTCGGACGGCGGTTACCCAAAGTACCGCCGACCAGACGACGGTCAAGTGGTCCTCTTGAGAAATCACGAGGTCGGCAACGAGTATGTAGTTCCTCACAACCCGTACCTCTTGGCAAAATACGACGCACACATCAATTTCGAGGTCTGCTCCTCCATAAAGAGCGTCATGTACATCTACAAGTACATCTACAAGGGGCATGATTGTGTGACATTGGAGGTTTTTGACTAGGATGAACTGGCAAAGTGAGTCTCAATGGATATTACAGTTATAGAAATTATTAAAGCAATAGCCCTACACTTGTGATCAGTATAAACAAGAGTATTGTTAGAGAAGATGATGGAGGGTGTTCGGTGAAGGACCAGTCGACCTTAGTCGACGATGAAAATTTTGAACTGCCCTTAAGTGGATGGAATATAGGCAACTTAATGCGCTCCTTGATGCTCAGTGCATAGGCAACCTAATATACCCCTATTGGTTTCGTGCATAGGCAATTCTATATGCCCGTGACGAATCCTCGCGGCGGCGGCGACGGCGGCGGCAGGCAATATGAGGAATGAATGGACGGAGGTGGTACAACGGAGTCAAGGATGGTACAGTTTAATTATGGGGCCGGGGTCCCTGTGGTCTGATCGGTCTGGTGCAATGACCACCGGGCGCAATTATAATTCAGGCTGTACTTAAAATTATTTAAAAACTACGGCAGGTGAAGGTCCGGTCCGGTGAGCAATGCAATCCGACGACCTGGAGCGGCCACTCACACAACGCACTGGGTTGCTGGCGGACTTACGCGCTTGAGTCTGGCACCAGTCCCGAGCTCGGGCAAAGAATTGGATTCTCCACGAAGGCTGGCAGGAATGTCGTGATTATATTATCTCCGTGTACTCACTCGATCGACTGCGGTTGAAAATGACAAGCACGAAGTGTGCCAAGACGTCGAAGTTGGACGTTGACGCAATGTCAACGACGGGCGATGATTTTAAAAACAGACAACTGCAGGTGATTTGAAGTTTGCCGCAATGGCGTGAACAGAGATTTTATTGCGTGTAATTAACGATACAGAATAATATATATTGGGTCTCGTGTATATAATATACGACAAGACAAGTGAACAACAGGTACGACAAAAAAAATCCGAATGATACGGCAATAACAACAAGTGGAATTGATATCATTAACAACGATATCAATTGTACATAATAATTAATATTTTACATAATGATAATGGAGAGAAACAATAGATAGGAATAATAATTATAATGGCGCATGCAAGGAGAGGAAAACAGATAACACCGATTTCTGCACGGGCACGCGGAGCTTGCGGGGGTTCAGTCATGAACCTTTGATCGCTGCGACGCGGACGATACTATTACGATGTGTCGAAACAAGTATAATTATTTCATTTCACATTTTTCATACCAAAACTTCACAAATAAATTAAAAATTTCAATTATACACTCCATGGTAAAGCGAAACACACTTTATTGATAACCTATTTATATTAAATTGCTGTTATTTCTGTTTAAAATAAAATACAACGTACGGTTTAATCAAACTCACAATACTGTCTTCTATATTTATTATTTAATTTATTAGTGTGTAAGAGTTATTTAATCATAGGCACAATGTTCATCCCTGGTTAGTTATGTGTAAAGACCGGATTTTTCATAAAAAGCATGTTGCCTTTTTCATCATCATATTATACATGCAGTCAATGAGTGTCCACACATCATTACTTGATTGATTAAATATCAATACTGCATGTTTTTTCATATCTTAATACAAAACCGTATAAATATACACAAAACGACAAAATATTTTTAACTCAATTAATCAATGATTAAAAATTAAATTACAATTTAACAAATGACATTATTGTATTACATATGTGTTGTATTATACATATTGCTTTTTGTTTATGATAAATAATTATCAGTGCAAAATTAAATTAAATCAAATATGAAATGTAATAATAATTGAAATGTTATATTGCATCTTTTGCATCTTTTGACTTTTTTCAGTGCATGCTTGCATTATCATTAATTATATGATACATTATATTATACTATGTATAAGTGTTGATTTAGGTTGTAAATTGCGCCATTGGCGATTCATGTAGTTAACCAAAACACTACGTACCACATGAACACTCATTATATTAGGTTTTTCGTAATTTGTATACATGTTTTTTACATTTAATGTTCAATATAACTAAGCATTCGCTATAAAATTATATTTCAATTGTACACATACATAAATACATTAAGTATGCATGTAATATATAACAAAATAACAACTTCAATAGGTACATACCAAATACCAATGCACTTACACAATGTTCTCCATAATTTTATTTCATTTTAATGTTATACATTACGAAACATAAATTAAATTATTAAACATTGTGTTCATTTATGTCATTCTTCGGCACAATAATATCTTGCCTATAAATTATAATATCTATAATATAGTATTACTATAATAACCAGGGCTCGTAAGTTCATGCACTAAAAAAAGCACAAATAAGCATGCATTCATGCACTAAAAATTGGCAAAATATGCATTAAAATATGCACTAAAAAGTTCGAAAATATGCATTTAAATGCCATTACATTTTTAAATTATGCACTCAAAATATGCATTATGTAAAATATTTATGAGCAAATTTTAAAATAATAAGAATATATCCATTAATTTTAAAAGTATTTTATTCCTTTTAATTTTTATATATTTAACAACCAAAATTAATAAAATGAATACTTGTGAAGTTCATATAATCATATGGATTTGTCATCTTTATTGATTTTAATTAGGTAGTCATTTTTTGTCTAATTTTTGTACACCGTTATCGTGCACCTACAATGAAAATATTTGGAATGAAATATTAGTTATTTGACATTTTCACGACTCTTACAGTTAAACAACTCATCGACGACTGGCGTGTGCAAGAACACTACATACCTGACACCTGTACATGCTTGCACAGGTATCGTTTCGACGACGGAATTGTTTCCGCGGTACTAAGTAAAACGCATAAAATCTAAATAGGGAAATACTAGAAAAGTCAGTAGTCACACGAAAATCAAAATAAATCAAAACACTATCATTCAGTAAACGGGAAAGTAAATAAGATACAAGAAACATTTCAAATATTTTTCTTAACAATTTTTTTATGAAATAATATGCGCTATAAACTCTAAAAAAACGATTATATGCCAAATATGCCTTTACACCTAAAACATGCAAAAACATGCATTATTAAACTTCATATTATTATACTATTGTTATGAAACGGATTTGTATCTCAGTTAGCATATTTTTCTGTGTAGCAAAAAAAACATGCAAATGCATGAACTTACGAGCCCTGATAATAACTATAACTATATACATTATTTACATTGTAAACGCTAATGTATAGTGAAATCGACTTATATTGATAATTATTTTTGTATTAATTTTAATAATATTAAATAATTGTTGTTGATTGTTGTTTCAATAATATTTAACATGCAGTTCAGTAAAACTACCTAATACTGTATTGAAAGCGTTCATTATTTTTTAAATTGTTATTCGGTTCACTAGGCATTAAACATCGTAATATTTGTTAATTTACAAATATTCATATTAAAATTTAATTCTCTCTCCAAATTAATACACTGAGCCAGTCAATATAGTGATATCAATACTACTATTGTAATTGTTTTCAACTTCGTAAACTCGAGATTCGTCAGCCCGCCAGAGGGCATCTGGTGGTTGTATTCGTACGAATTGCACAAAAGGAGTCACACGATCGTCAGACTTCCTGTCCACCTGGAAGGTCGACAGAATGTGTACTTCGAGCCGGGACAAGCACAAGAACGGTTGCAAAACGAAGCCCTGCGTCGTACAGGATTAACAGAGTTCTTCGTGCTGAACGTAAACGACGTGGAAGCTCGACAATACCTGTACACCGAAATAAAAACGCATCACAAGTGGAACGCGCCTCAGAGAACGTGGGCGCGGCGGCGGAGACTGATGGCAAACGAGACGTTGGCTCGGATGTACATCGTCAACCCTTTGGACCGAGACCGTTTCCACTTGCGACTGCTACTGCTGAACCGAAGAGGCCCGCAGTCCTTTCAAGACATTAGGACGGTGGACGGGGTCGTTGAGGAAACGTACACCTCGGCAGCCGTCGCACTCGGGTTATTGGAAGACGACCGAGCGTGGCGGGCGTGCCTGACGGAATCGGCGGCGTTGGACACACCGCGGCAACTGCGATATCTGTTCGTCACGATACTGGTGTTCTGCGAGCCGTCAAACCCGCTGGCGTTGTACGAGGCGAACGAAGCAAACCTGATGGAGGATTTCAATAGGCGCCTCCAAGACGTCGACCGCGCGAGGGCCGCGTGTCTGAACGCCATCGGGGATCTACTTCGTGCGCACGGAAAGTCGCTGGGCGACTACGGTTTGCCCCTGCCCGACCCCCTAATGCTGGAACCGGAACAGGACGACAGACTGATCCAAGCAATAGAAGCGGCGGCACGGTGGGCACAACAGTTGGACGACATGAACGCCGAACAGCGAACGGTGTTCGACCGCGTGATGGCGGCCGTCGACGACGGACTAGAAGCAGCGAAGACTTTCTACGTCGACGGACCTGGCGGCACCGGAAAAACGAATCTGTACGGATGCCTCATTTGGTCGCTCCGCAACAGCGGCCGGTCGGTGTTATGCGTCGCATTCACCGGGATCGCCGCGTCACTCATGGACGGCGGCATGACCGTGCACTCGACGTTCGGCACGATGACCGACGACTCTACATCGACCATCACCATGCAGTCCGAGCGAGCGCGCAAGATACGCGATGCGGCACTCATCGTGTGGGACGTGGCGCCAATGTCGCCGGGACTGAAACTGACGGTGGTGGACCAACAATGGACGAAGTGGCCAATTTCCCCACAGAATTCTTCAACAGTTTGGAACCGGACGGCCTGTTGCCGTACCGGCTGACGTTGAAGGTGGGGTCAATCGTCATGCTGCTCAGAAATCTCGATCCGAAGAGACTGCTGTGCAACGGCACGAGGTCACCGAACTGCGTTATCACAATTTCAAGGCCAGGATTTTGAACGGTGAGGCACAGATCGATATCGTCGTACCTGCGCTACCGCTCACGTCCAGCGGCGAGGACGACCTGCCCATCATAATGCGGCGCGTTCAGTTCCCAGTAAGGTTGTCGTTCGCCATGACCATCAACAAGTCGCAGAGTCAGACGTTCGACCGAGTGAGTATGCAACTGCCGTCGCCCGTGTTCACGCACGGGCAACTGTACGTGGCGTTCTCGAGAGTGAGAAATGCACAGTCACTGAGATTTGGCATGTACGGGGATGATGGTCGATTTGTCACAAAAAATATTGTTTACATGGAAGTTTTGTAATGTGGGCAATGTTGCCGGTTGCAATGAATATTGTTATCCTTTTTAAGTCTAGGTGACTTCCAAGGATTAAGGAAAATCCCCCGTGGGCCTAAGTGACCCTAGAGGGGTCTAAGTGCGGAGAGAAAGTTTGACAACCTCCACGTGGTCTCTCTGGATGCGAATACTCAAAGGTGTATTCGTAACAAATGTCAAACGGCAAGGATTTGAAAAAATATAATAACAATATTGCACGGCACAATTACATTATAGGTTTAATAATAATTAGTATAATATAGTTCAAAATGAATTCCCTGTTATTAATTCAGCTACACTATATTCATTTATATCCACTTAAAAATACATGATCAATGTTGAAATGTAAAAATAATGTTTAATGCTATGATATGATAATATGTGACTTAGTAACATTAAGTTAGCAATAATTAACCTTTTTCTATGTTTTGTTAGTATTTACTGATTATTATATCAAATTATTTTAATTATATAATTATATCATAAAATTAATTTCTTATTTATGTCTGCATGATTAATAACTTTTATAATAATCTAAATATCTGTAATGTACCAATAACATAATTGAGATTGCATTTATAATCCTATACTTTGATTGTATTTATTTGTTTTATAATATATTATTATTATTCATGGTATACCATGATATTGTATAGCTTTTTACATTTGTTTTTACTTTGGAACCCTCTGTTAATAATATTTAACCTTTTTGTATGTCTCATTGGTATTTAACCACCTTTTTATACTATTAATATAATATATCTGTATTATAGTTGATTCTACGTGTAGTATAATGTTTTTATTATTAAGCTTATATCATTAACTTTTAAACACAATTCGATATTTATGTCTGTATGAATAACTTCTAATAACAGTCTAAATATCGGTAATGTACCAATACATAATTGAGATTGTATTTATTTTTTTATATATATTCATGTTATGCTATTATATAACTTTTTACTGCTCGGTTAACAATATGATATAATCTTTTTGTATGTATTTTATTAGTATTGAACAGCATGTATATTATTATTAAAATACAATATTTGTAGTACTATTTATTGTATGTGTAATATCATGTTTTTTATTATTAAGCTTATATCATTAACTTTTAAACAGTTTGTTATGTAATATTGTATATTATGTTGATAGCTAATATTATTGTATTTATGTTATCACATCTCTGTCAATTTATATTCATTCTTTAACGTTTAATTGTAAGAATGTTATGACCTCTTACTTTTTTGTTTTTGTATTGCCCAATGCATAATATGATTTTATTATAATAACTTTTATCAGACACAATTTAATGTTAAATAGTTAATATAACTCTAACTCTATTCGTAACATTTTATTTGTACTTATTATTATTACTCATCACCAATGTGAGTTCATGTTTGTTTCTCTATACTTTGTAAAGTTGAGTAAAAAATAAATAATATTGCATGACTTATCTTTTTATATATTTTGCCTACCTATTATTATTATATACATAATATAATACAGTTACCATTATAATCTAAAAAAATTATTATTATAATATTTCTATATAACCTATATACTATGATGAAATGTAACATTTTATAAGCTTCATCACTGTGGATCGCTGTTAATTCATCATCAACATATCTAACTATAACATGAACTACATTGAGTCGCAATATGTTCTGTATGTACCACTTCTGATATATATGTGTATATTATATTCTACACACTATGTCTATATTTTATTTAATAATATGTTTATGTTAATTTGTTTAAACTTACTGACTTTTAGTTACAATCTTGAAAATAATAAAAACAATATTGTAAGTGCACTCATGACTTATCTTTTTGTAGGCATACAGTATGTCATACAATATTTTGTTTGTATTTCACTGCCTATTATTATTGTACAGATCTAAAACTGACATAAACTATTTTAGAAAACATATTATGGATACATAATAAGTAAACCATGACTGTTAGCGTGTTAAGGTATAAAAAAAAAACACCTATTTGAAAAAAAAAATTTTATTCATCTGAAAAACATTAAATAAATTAGATATACTGTTATAATGATATTAAAATAAATTTTCCAGTTGACAACTTACAGTGGTCCTTCCGCCGCCGTCACGCATGACTCATCCAACGTCTGCAATTTATAAATAATTCATAAAATTAGCAATCTCAATTGAAAAACAATAAATGAATGAAATATGGTATATATTAAAAAAAATTATCTAATTGACAACTTACAATGGTCCCTCCATAACCCGTATCGGGGGTGGGGAGGACTCTCTTCCATGTCCTACAATTCATGTAGGATTAGGATGTTATTAGGATCATTATTATTATTTTTAATGTGCGTTACTCACATCGTCCGTGGCCGTCGGTGGCGGTGGTGGCAGTGTTCTTGCCGGGTGCTGCGACGCCGGACTACGCGGCGGCCGAATGGCCAGCGGCGACCGATCCCGCTGATTCAGCCGTCTAGCTGTATTGGGGGCTATTAACGTAACAAAAATAAATAATATTTTTATTTAGTATAAAAATATTGCGTAAACTTTCACCGCGGCAATCCCCGACCAGGTGCCCCTGGCTCTGGCACCGGTAGCATCCTGAAACACGATGTAGACAATAGTTATAATTTTATTGGTAAACATTTAAATTCTTAAGACTTCTTAGCTCTGGGCCAACCGCAACTCTTACTTGATGTCGTTGAACTTACATATGTCATAACCATAATAAATCCTTAGAAAAAACTTAGACACTGCGTGTGCTGAGAGTAAAGACACACCTCTACACTACATTCTATTTTAACATGAACGTTGCGTTAGGCTTATCATTTATTAATTGATAGTTATATCACTCAAACATTAACTGAATCCACTCATTAACATTATTACACGTACCTACATCGTAAATAGTATGCAAATAACATAATATACTTTCATATTAAGCATACTATTTATATTATACACAACGTTTTTGTTTTGTTTGATGCAGAGCTTAATTTATTATTTTGATGTACTCAAGACCTGTACTCTAAGTAACTGTTATACTCAATTCAGTGTTTTTGTAATTCAAAAATTTTATGTATTGCATTCATGGTTACAAAACTTACTTCATTTTAAATATTTTGCCAGTACTACATTTAATAACACATCAATAACACTTTATTTAAATACTTATTCACTGCATTATGTAAAACCAAATATTTTTTACATACACCTTACTTAAGAATTTATAGTTCTGCCATTCAAACATTAATTCAATCAATTCACTTAAATTTGACAGCTCAATTAATTAAATTGAAATACACTCAACACAGTACAATAGAATTTTAAAGTGCAGACAGTCACTGGGTTATCTCACTGAAAATGTGTGTTTCAATCAAACAAATAACGTAAAGAATGTGTGGTGTAACGTTCAAATTGTTGTGTTAACACCACACATCACTTATATAAGGTTGATACATTATTTTTGAATATAATATTACATCCTTCTTATAATTTATAATTACAGGTAAATACTAAAAAACTATAGAACACTATAATAATTTTGTGCTGTGGAAATAAATAGGAATAATAAATTATTGCTGTATTGCTGTTTATTCAAAACAACACCATTACAAAATTCTTTAATTTATGACCCTACCAAAAACTAATGCGCCCATGATTGTATAGGTTATCCGAGAGCAACCGGTACCTAACCGTGAACCACCAGTTCACGCAGAAATTGATGGCGCCGATGTACACGGCGGCGTAGAAATCATCGAGGTACAGATGGACGATATCGAGGTGGAAGTCATCCAGGTGGATCAAGTCCTGATGAACGACGGTAATTTTGAGGTGATTGGAGTTCAAATGAACGACGAAAACGTCGAAATTATCGAAGTTCAGATGGACGACTTCGAAGAAGTTTCAGACCAAGTTGAGGTTGTGGCCCCAGACCGCGAGGCGGAACTTGAAATCGACGTTTTACTCCAAGGCGTCGATGAAGAGGTCAGTAAATTTCTCTTCATATTCGTATTGATGAAAAATAAAATTTATTACAATTCTGTGATCTCAATTGCAGTTTGAACCAATTCCTCCACCTGGTGTTCCGGTCGAACAGCCTAGGGTGCGTCCACCAATGGTAGATCGTCCGGCTGGCGTTCAACACCAACTTCCAGAACAGCATTGCATTGGCGCATTGAATGCAATCTGTAGGCATTGCAGTGCCCGTCACTTTGAGTGTGAGCGTACTACCACTGGTCATTTCTCTATATGTTGTAATAACGGTCAAATGACCATTACAGGACAGCGGGTTTTGCAACCCGCGCCTGTGTTTCTAATGAATTTGTTGACTTTTGATTCTAGAGAAGCCAGAAGCTTCAGAGCTGAAATTCGACGGTATAACAACTGTTTGGCATTCGCTGTGTTCTCCAGTGACTTTAACCCCAGGCGTTTGCCAGGTCGTGGGCCGAGGGTATTTTATGCTCACGGACAGGCGTATTACAGGACTAACAATGACGTCGCTGCAAACGTAGACAGGCAACCGAGATACTGTGAGTTGTATTTTGTGAGTTCTGCGCAAGCGAACCTGGCACGCTTGCAACAGAATCCAGACCGCCTATTGGACGGTCTGCTTTCAGAGCTGGACCAGCTGCTTCGGGATATCAATCCATACGCCCAGGCATTTCAGTAAGTCATTAAAGTTGTTAACTCATTATGTTGTACTCATTGACACTGAACTACAATAAACACTCAGCTTACAGTTCATTATTGTTTACATATTACTTCTATGTTTTGGTTTCTATCACAATATGACATATCAGCATTTCTTAAATTCTAATTTAGCAAACTAGGTATTCAACTTATAAACTGATTAAATATTACTATTGAAATATGTGCTTAGGAATAGTAAATAATTTGTATGCACAACTTGATATGTTCAACATAATTTTTACAAACTGTTCACTGATATTTCTTTAATTTTGAATTCAGATTGGTGTTATGTTCAACACAAATAGTATACAATAAATAAAAAGTTGACAGTTCATATTTCACAATTCAAGAATCTTTACACTACCCGTCTACATAATAATATAATATAATGTTACAACAATTTAAACTGTACATTAACGCCAAGCCACCCATAGGTTGTAAAATACTCATCAATATACAATATGTAAATGATAACTGATTTTTGCAAACGTTTTTTAAATTTATTATTAACGGGTCATTATATCTTAGAATTTCACAAATAGAACAAATTGGTAAAGTAATTTACATTATATTTCTATTTCAATAACATTTCAACAGTATTTACCAGTATAATGAGTAATAACAATTTACAGCATACCATGTATAATTTCAATTAATACTTTCTTACTTAAAATTTTTGATACGGTTATCAAAATTAATTTGTCATAATTCAGAATTTGTAAACACTACATATTACACTTAACTATCATTTATTTAATTCATACAATTAAAACTAATAAATGATAGCATTTATTTAAACTGTAAAATGACCATGCTTTACCATCTTAATATATTATGACATAATGTTTTTTCCTTCATCTATTATAAGCGGTTCTGTGTATATGTTACGGGCAAAGTATGCAATTTGGTCATTTTACATAATGGCCGGGCATTATGTAAAATGACCTTCATATATTGGGCAATATAGATAATACTATGTAATTGTAAAGTATAGTCAAAATACCAATGTTGGATTTGGTACCTATTTTGGTTTGTTCTTATCGACTTCTTATCGACGGGTCGCACATGTCAATCGACAGTCACATATTATTTGATTGTAGTGATGTTTATCATAGAATGCCATAATAGATAGATATGACATTTTACCTATATCGGTCAATTCTCGTAAAATTAACTATTTAGTAACCGCGAATCGCTTGTATAGTGCAGTTATATTTTGAATATGGAAAAGTTTAATGTAGATTTAAATGATTTGTTAGAAAAAAAAGGTTCAAATACTTCATTTTTGAAAAAGCTTAAATATGATCAACTAATTTCGCATATAATTCAACTAAAGAATAATTCAAAAAAAAAGGAACCGAATGATTATAACCTTTTAAAAAAATACGACGTGTTAAACGTTGCTAATGTTAACAAGTTAATTGTACCTGTATCTGAAAATAATGAAATTAAATATTATGTACACGATGAAGAGTTATTTGATATTATAAACGATGTTCATTTATCAATTGGACACGGTGGCCGAAACAGAATGGAACACGAGGTAAATGCAAAGTACAAAAATATCACTAGAGATATTATTATGCTATACTTAAATAGTTGCGAATCATGTCAAAAAAAAGGAAGCACAGCCAAGAAAGGGCTGGTGGTAAAACCAATTATATCTTCCGAGATGAATTCTCGCTATCAAATTGACCTAATAGATATGCAAGCACAATCGGATGGTGAGTATAAGTTTATATTGGTTTACCAGGACCACCTCACAAAATACGTAATACTTCGACCGTTAAAACACAAACGTGCTGAAAACGTAGCGTATGTATTATTAGATATTTTCACAACATTCGGAGCACCGTCAATTTTACAATCGGATAATGGTCGAGAATTTGCAAATAAAGTTGTAACTGAAATATGTGCGATGTGGCCAGAACTTAAAATAGTTCATGGTAAACCTCGTCACTCACAGAGCCAGGGTTCAGTTGAACGAGCTAACCAGGACATTGAAAATATGCTTGCTACTTGGTTGACAGATAACCGTACTAAAAAATGGAGTGAGGGGTTAAAATTTATCCAGTTTATGAAAAACCGTTCATTACACTCAGGAATAAAATGTTCACCTTACGAGGCTATGTTCGGTACAAAAGCAAAAATTGGATTAAAGAGTACACTTCTGCCAATAAATATAATAAGCGATTTAAGAACCGAAGAAGACCTCGAAACAGCTCTGAATTCTATTTCCACTACTTCTAACAGTAACAACGATATCGAAAATACCGAAGGTATAAAATAAAATAATAATAATAATATTTCTTATTGAGTAGGTAATATTATAAAAATTACTCTATGTGTTTGTTTTATTTTAGCTGTACCTTTAAGAATAAAATCAAACAGTAACAACGATATCGAAAATACCGAAGGTATAAAATAAAATAATAGTAATAATAATATTTCTTGTTGAGTAGGTAATATTATTAAAATTACTCTATGTGTTTGTTTTATTTTAGCTGTACCTTTAAGAATAAAATCTATTTGTGAGAGTAGAAATGAATCACTTAAAAATTTAAAAGTTCAAGCGACAAAAATGAAGCAAGCTTCCGAAAATCGTTTCCGTCCCGGCGAAGTTGGTCAGTCAGTAACGGTTAAGATTCCAGACGTCGATAGGGCCCGTAGTGATTTTAGAAATATTATTGGAGTTATTCTTTCGAGTACCTATAAATACTATACTTTTATTATTAATATTCCAGATAAACTAATAAAATTTGTTTTACAGTTAACAATGACATGTACGAAATCGGGACTAAGGAAGGTCGCCTTTCAACTTTGTATAGTAGAAACCAATTTGTAATTTGCAAGGAAAGATTTCTGAAAGTCGATGATGTGCCACAAACCAAGATTTCACTCCGAGAGACAGCACGGACATTTTCTAATTTGGGTGGTCAGGGCTACGACCGATGTACGTGTGTACAAAAATGTAAAACACGGAAGTGCAAGTGCAAAGCTGCGGAGAGACTATGCACATCAAAATGCCACGGGAGTAGTGCATGCGATAATAAGTAATAAATTGATAATATTGAGTATAAATATTATCTCATATTACTCAATGGTAATAAATAATTACTACTAATAAGTAATGAAATATAATTAAATAGTAATAAAATATAATATTAGTATAGGTACCTCCTAGTTAATATTTATCATGTTTATAAAGTTAAAATATAATGAATAAAATGCTTTATACTTTACAATTACATAGTATTATCTATATTGCCCAATATATGAAGGTCATTTTACATAATGGCCGGGCATTATATAAAATGCCCGGCCATTATGTAAAATGACCAAATTGTATACTTTGCCCGTAACATATATATTATGCACTACTGCAATAGAACATAGTACATTATACAAAACAAATTTCATAAACTAAATGATGCACTACTATATGACTTTATTGTTCCTGTACATTATCTCCCCCCTTGCTTAAAATGTGTTTGGTTAACTCGAAATAAATATTTACAGCAACATGAGTCTATTGTGTTCAGATGATGGTTAGGTTAGGTTGTTCTCGAATGGCTATTCGATATGACCGGTTCAGCATATTACACAGAGGTGGATTTTTGTTACAACAATACGTGTGTGATCTTTATGTTCGAATGGAATCAAACAATCTAAATTACATTCGTCAGCATCAGGGTACGCTCCTTGCAGACGCATATCAAGGCCTTGTGGACTACGTCAAACAACAGCTAAACGTGGATGCACCTGACCCCTTGGCCGTCGGCCGTAGGATCATTTTACCGTCAACGTTCGTTGGAAGTCCGCGTTACATGAAACAGTGTTGTTAACAGTGTTTTTATTTCTTACAAATATTATGATTTCTATTTTTGATCGTGTACAACTTTTAAATGCAGATGCAAAGAGTAACATTAAGCTTCCAAGAAGCACAAAATAAAATTAAAAATGTAAGAGCATCAATTCAGGAACAAAGGAATTCTGGTTTTGATATTTTATGGAATGACTCAAAACTAAAGTCAAATGAATTGTGTTTGGAAGAAAAAGATAAAACTATAATCCAAAAACTACCGAAACGATTTACTGAAAGGAGCGAACCACATATATTTTCTGACATTTGAGAAGAATATAAAGCTTTATTCTATGAGATTATTGATGTAACATTAGCTTCATTAGATAGACGGTTTCAACAAAATGTTATTGAACATTTATCATTAATTGAAAGATTCATCATTGGGAAAGAAACTTCACATAAACATATTATTACATTTTATGGATCTGACTTTGATGGTGATAAATTGCAATTACTCAGGGATATGTTTTTAGATGTAGCAAAATCGAGAAAGGTGCCAATTAAAAATGTTGATGATGTCTTAAAGCTAATGAAAACGATGATGCACTTCGTCAAATGTTACCAGAGTTAAACTAAATATTATCCATAATGTTAGTTATACCAGTGTCATCATGTACTTCAGAAAGATCATTTTCTGCCCTTCGCAGACTTAAGCCATACATCAGGAGTACAATGAGTCAAACACGGTTGAATGATATTGCTATTCTTCATGTTGCACCGTGATGAAGAAATAAATGTAGAAACTGTCGCTAACCAATTCATCAACATTTCCAAAGTGCGGAAAAATACATTTTCTTTATAAAATGTGTAACTTTAAAAATAAATTGGCATTTTTTAATTTTTGTCTTATGATTTTATATGATAATACTTTTATAATTTTATAACATACAAAACAACAAATAACTAAATTGTAATAGTTAATTGTTTAACGAAAAATTTAAATAAACGAAAATATTAATGTGAAACTTCAGTAAGTGTTCATAAGATAGTGAGCCCCCCATGATATTTTTAAAACCTGGCACCTATGGTATAAATTATTCTTGTCCCTAATATAGATACAGGCATAAATTTTATTAAAAAATGTGAATTTCACATTCCATTTTTTATTTGTCTAAAAAAACTATATAAATATAACCTATTTCTATTCCATAAAATATATTCCCACACAACATTTGTCAATCATAACTATTGTATCAATGTTAAACTTTAATTGGAATTTAAATATTTAAAATTAAAACATTATTCAACATTGAACAGTTATTTAATTTTGAATATTATAATTAAAATAATGAACACAAATTAGTTAACATTTAAGAAAAAATATTTAAATATTAACATACATTTGCAATTGTAGAAATTTTAATATTTAACATCCATTTAAGTTACTAAGATTAATCATTATTAAAGATTGAAAATCAAACACTAACTCAATATTTATAATAAATATTTTTTTGGCGTTTTTTATTACGACATAATTTCCCAATCCACGTACTCTCAAAATAATCCAAAACATCTGATAATAAGGTTTAATTTTCAATATAAAACTCAGATCCCAAAATTGCTTCGTATGCATTAATTACCAAATGCGGAGGAACAAATGATAATGCACAGATAATGAACAGATTCAGTTACCTATATGATAATTTAAACGATTATTCATATATTTTTATAATTAATAACTTAAAATTTTCATTTATAATTATTAGTTTAAAATAATTTAAATTAATTACCTCTTTCGACATAGTACTCAAAACTACTTGTGAACTCAGCTCTGTTTCTTTTACTATTTTTTTTCATATTTTCAATAGCCTGTTTTGCTTCAATTTTTGAACGATCCGGCCGATGGTTATGCTCACGCTTACTTTCTTTTGTTACTTCTCCCTTTTCTACATGTACTCGACCCGGACATTTTTTACTATTATTTTAAGTACAGCGCCAAATTGTTTTTTCATTAGTTGTGCGTTCTAATTTGTATAAATAGCCTTTAAAAATGAGCAGGTCTCGATTCTTTTCACTTTTAACGAATTCACACATTGTAAAAAGAAATATTTCATATAACACAAATTATTTATCACTTAATTGTGTTACCAGCGCATGAACGTGATATACTAAATAAGTATCAAAACTCGTATCGTATTGTTAGATTATAACTAGCCCGGCCCATGCAGGGCTCTATCAGACACTAGGTACTTAAAAAATTAATTATTAGTCAAATACAGTACACAGTACACACTAACCTAACCTAACCTAAGTCAAATTAAATTCAAAATGAAAAATTCAACAATCGTTATTGTTGAGATAACGAATATAGTAATAGAATAATAATAATAACGTATTAATTAATATATTTGTATTAGTATAAGGTCTATGGATATACCACAAATTTCTATTTTTATATCATGTAGTATATTCTAGCATAGTCAGTAGATTTAAGATTATATTGATTATAGAAAACCCGGCCCGCTTAGACCACCGTGGGCCACCAGCCCATTTGGCTACTTTAAAATCTAGGGTTGGGCAAATGCATACTCTTGCCCCCCCCCCCCCCCCCCAAATGGCGCACCTGGGTTTAATATTATACTTTCAATAAGACTTTTTTTTTCACCATCACCTGTGAAGGATTATCGATACATTACAAAAAATATATATATAATAATAGTCTTCTTTGTGCATTTATAAAATCAAATCAAGGTAATTATTTCTGTAGGGATTTTTATCGTTATGAAATAAATTACGTCATATTAATATTATATTACTGTTAATAAATATAATATGTAACATATCACATATATGTAATGTATATGGATAATTGAAGACAAATTTGGGGGTGAGCATGCTTGGTGAATCACCTGTATATCATCTCTACATAGTGATGAAAAATTAAATATTGATAATGAGTGATCAGGTATGATTGAACATCTATATAGTGATTATTGTAAGAAACATACCAAAAAACTCTAAATTAAAAAATATTAACAAATATATTTTTCAATATTTCAAGAAGGATGAAAGTTTCAAGGTTGAAATATTTCAAAGTGAAAATTTCATGTGAAATATTTCATACTCATAACCCTAATTATATACCTAAATATTATATTCTGTGATTATACCAAAATTTTATTATATATTATTATTTGAGTTTTTTTCCTGTATTTTTTCTTGCCGTATAGACTTACCTGCATTATATTCTAAATTTGATATTTATATCCCAACAATATTATTTTAACATTGCCATTGTTCTTGCCAGTACATCAACACAAATTTAAACATTGGTTCTTAATTTAAATTAGTTTCTTATTATATTGATATAACAAATGGACATCTTCAATTTTAAATTAATACCTTTTTAATTTTTGAAAACTACACATGATTGGTTTTGAGTAAAAATTCTCGGTTTTCTCTAATTTTTTGGGGGGGAGGGGTTTTTGTTTTTTGATGTAACTAAAAAATGAATAACCATACTTACAATGTTCACTAAATGTTTATACTAGCATTTTCTATGCTTGATAAGATTTTAAAAATATTTGTACTCTTTTAGAGGTATATAATATAGGCAATAGGCATGTCGCATTTTCGGATTTTAGTTAGTTTATTTAAAATTATTGTTGATCAAAATATACTGGCATATTATATTCAGATTATCCTTAAATTAATAATTAAATCTAAATTACTATAATATTTATTACATAATACTGAGAATAAATATTCATAAATGTTTCATTTTTATCATAACATTTTTCATAAATATCTTTGTAATCTACAAATAAATAAAATACGAATTCAAATTAATATTTTTAATAATTTTTTTGAAAGCATAACTCTGGAAGAAAACCTCGTATCCCAACAGAGTTGGTTTTTGAAACATTGAGTAATGTAGCTATGGCCTTGTTTGATTTGGATGGACATCTTGTTCCGTATTCACATCCATTATGGAATGAGCTAAGAAATAAGTGGAATAAAAAAATTACAGCTCATACCCTCTATTCGTGTGTTCAGCAAGATCGTCATGAATTGCAGACGAAACTAAGAGAAATTGTAAAGAAGCCTCTTGAAGTTGAGTACAAAGTTATTATGTCTGATTCAAATGATAATTCATATGATTATAAATATTCAACAGATTCTGATGATGAAAAAAATGATTTTTATGATAACAAAAAGTTCTATAGTTTTCATATTCCATATCGAGATTATATCAAAATTAGCCCAATAGAAGTTT